CAGCGATGGCAGCGTTAGCGGCATTGACGTTCGTAGGTCCCGGCTCGACCAGGAGATACGACGTCGGGACACGGTAGAGGCGACGCGAAGACAAGGGGGAGAAGTAAAGGTAGGCACCGTCTAGCATAATTCATTATTAAGATGCTTGAATTGCGACAATGATGGGGCACACTCACCAGCACTAAGTGCAATGCCGTCCGAGCCCGTCGTCAAATGCGAGTAGGTACCGGCCGGTGGCCCCTGATTGATGGGCTGGAATACCATTCCGTCATAGGTGCTGATGAATCCAGCATCTCCGCGGGTGTAAGGAGTGCCGTCGAGGTGTCGCCAGGAGTTCCCAGTACCCAGATCGATAACGATAATTCCATTTCGGCCTTCATTGCTATTAACAACGGCGAAGTTAGGTCCAATGTCTGATCCTCATACGAAGTGATTAATGATTACCTAGAGTCCGTGATGTATGCAACACCCTGGCCAGACGGGAGAGTCGAAGGGCGAAGGTCAAATCTGACGTCGTTGAGATACGTGTCGGGGTAGGCGGTGGCAGGTGGCAAGACGTAGTTGGCAAAACGAGTCCCGTTCTGATAGAACCCGACAAGCTTCGGACCACCCGTCGTCGCGTAGAGCATGGACCCGTTCCATAGAGGCCGTCCAGTATCGAGAGCCCAGACGCGGTCGAGAGCGTCGACAACGACGCTCTGTACGCGGAGTCTGAGTTCAGGCGTAGCGCCCAAGAAAGCAGAAGCCTTCAACGCGGTCGAGAGTGGCATGGGCGCGTCTGACAAACGCAAGAGGTCAAGAAGAATCAACATAATCCCTCCTCGAAAGGCCGCACACGCGCGTACCGGATATGTATCACCGAGATGGCCTTTTCGAGCACGGCACCCCACTGATGAAATACAACACTACATAGTCCCAATAGACAGATAAATTACACGCCGTGCGGTGCTACACTTCATCTCGACTTCGGACTTCCCGCTCTTGGTGTCGAACCCCCACTCCTTACTCGCTGAATTGGACTCCCCGGTGCCGCCATCGGTTGAGGGGGCAGCCCGGCAACCAGATACACCGGCATGGCAGGCTGCACCGCCTGCACAGGCGACGCCGCTCCCTGCCCTTGTCCCTCACCCTTCCCTAGCAGCTGCTGCCCATCGGCTGCATTCCCCGACGCTGGCGCGGGCCCAGGGATGAGATACATCGGCTGCGGCGGCGAGGGCGAGTACGTATACCCATACGGGTACGACACCTGCGCGTGGTGATGCGGGTCCATAAACGCCAAGTGCGAATGCGACGGTGACGCGAACGGCATGGGGGGAATCGGGCTGCCCGCGCGAGAGAGCGAGTACGAGCCCGAGGTGTACGAGCGCGTGTTGCCGGCATACGAACGCGGCGGGCGGCGCGGACGGCGTGCAGGGTTGTTCGTCGACGGCGCGCCCGAACGCTGCGTCCGCGAGCGGTGCGGCTGATGCGTCGAGTGCTCCCTCTGGTGGTGCGTATCAACCGTGCCGTCAAAGGTCGTCCTAGTGGTGCGCGTCGTGCGGCGGGACTGGAGGGGGATGTCGCCGCTGAGGAGGTCGACGTCCTTGTGCTTGCTCGTGTACCACGCCCTGTTCTGCTCGCGCTCGCGGTAGCGTGGGTAGAGGTAGCGGCTGCGGGGGTTCTCGCCAGGGAAGTAGTCGATCGCGACGCGGCCTGTCGAGGGGGCGACCCACGGGAGCCCGCTGAGTGTTTTAAGGAAGCGGTGGACGCGGGTAAGGTAGGAGGTGATGGAGGGTGCGGTGGGTGTGCGGGGCGGGGTCGTCATCTTGTCGTAGTCGGATGTCGGGCGGAGGTTCGGACTGGCAAGACCCAGAAGAGGCGCCGGCGCGTTTGTGACTATGCGAGTTGGTGCAGGACCTTGGTGAACCGCGGTGGAGGACGCATCGCCGTTGGCGCGAGACATCGCATCGTCGTGTCGGTTCTGCGAGCGATGCGACGAGTGATGAGATAACGGCGGCGAGGACGCACGATGATCCGCGGGTGGGTCGATAGTCGGGGCATAGCTGATGTGAGGGGTGGGCTCATACTGCGGTGCGCTGAACCTAGGGTACTCGTCCACGGGAGGTTGGCGACCCCTCAAGACCGCCTTCGGAAGCTTCTTCAAGCCGGCGAAAAAGCCGCCTACGAAACGACCCTTGGTAGCTCTCGGCTCCGGCTCCACCTCTGGAGTCAAATCCATGATATCTCCTACTTCATCGACCTCTGCAATCTCGTGTTCTTCCACCGTCCCTGGCGCCGCGTCCATGTACTCAAACTCGGGCTCCCCAGCCTCCGATCGCCCACGGGTCCGCGCTGTCATAGCAGGCGACGGTGCCCGGTAGGCATCAGGTGGAGGCGGATAGCTCTGCTGCGCAGCATTGTCCCAAGTCGCGAAACTGCCCTGGGTGTCCCTTGACGTAGGACCTGGCGAGTGTCCACGGTAAGGCGTCGGCGGGGCCGGGTAATCAGGGTAGGGAATCCAGGTGCCGTTGCTCGCATAGCTAGCCTGAGTACGCCTGGAATGCTTTGTTGAGGGCCTGTGGCGGTTCAGCTCGGAGGCGGCGTAGCTGTCGGCTTGACGAGGGTACGCTGGTTCGAGCCTGGCGTTATTGTCGCGATATTCGATAAAGTCGGACATGGTAGAGAGCGAAGAGCACGACAAAAAATCCAGCCAGACTAGATTTTAAGCATAACCGGAGCAGAAGCGAACAAACGTGGGGGAGAGCAGACGAGCAGCAGTTTTGGGGAGAAGGCTCCGCGCAGTGCGTACACGTGTAGCACCTTTCATTTTGTGGATCGTGGCAGAAGCACAGCAAGATATTGCATTCAAACTTATAATGAGCGACCAGATACAAGTCAGAAAGCAAGATAATCGAACGCAAGGCAGCAGACGAGGAGGATAGCCGCAATGCAATTAGCTCACGTAAGCAGGCATTATTGAGGCGGGAGTGGCGGTGCAAGCTCGGTCGGACATTGCTCGTTCCTTGTCTGCACTCCACGCCGACGACGTCCGCCCAGTATAATTACCTCTGCTCCCCCACGCTCCTTTCATTTCTCATCCTTCTACTCCCTTACTACAATGCACAGCCTGGAGAGCTCCTCTGATAGCCGACTCGAGCAAGACGACCTCGATATCAGCCATCCGTTCAAGAATAGCAACAATCTTCTGGTCCTCATCCCAAATGGCATAAGCGTAGAGGAGGAGTCGAGGCTATACGACGAGCTATGCGACGTGAGTTGTCCATATCCCAGTCTACTATTGTGCTTATTCCATCCAGGTTCCCGACCACCCCTCTAACCCACCCGCCTACTCGTCGCCTCCAGACTCGCCGTTAATCCGGCGCCGCCCACGCCCTGCATCTGTCTTCTCCATAAACGACATATGGCTCGAAGATCACGTCGGTGAGAATATGGCCTTTGCCCGCGACGTCAAGATCAGCGGGTGGACAAACGTCGGAGACAAGTTAGGAGGCGCCTACGTCGGTAAGCGCTCGCACCTCTCTACGAGCCCGCAATTCACTCACCATTTCCGACTCGTAGTATACGACTGTGTTATCAAGACGAAAGAGGTACGTCTCGACCTTCCCGACCACCTGCCCGCATCCTGAACGACATACACAGGGAACCGTCATCCACGCCCACAAGCGCTACTCGGACTTCGAGAAGCTCTACTCAAACCTTTTCCTCACCCTTCCCGTACGTCTCCCCTGCCTCCCTCCACCCACCTCTACCTCACTAACCCCCACCCAGCGCAACCTCCGCCACCTCGTCCCACCCCTCCCTCCCAAATCCGCCTTGGCCAAGTACCGCCCCACGTTCCTCGACAAGCGCCGCCGCCTCCTCGAGCACTGGCTCGCCGCCGTCTTACTCCATCCCGACATTGGCGGGTGCAAGGCTGCCGGAAGATGGGTGATGGAGTAGATTGTACAGTCATATTTAGTATGCCTGCTCGTTAGTGTACCTTGGGAATTATGTGGTAAGAGAAGTTTCTCGATAACCCACTCATAGCTTCAAAGCCGTCCTCGGTCACGGCTCAGTGGTCTAGTAGTATGATTCTCGCTTCGGGTAACCCGGCTCATGGAGCCGAGCGTGCGAGAGGTCCCGGGTTCAATTCCCGGCTGAGCCCTTCGTCCTGTTTTTGCCATCCCTCGCTCCTCTTGCTTACCAGACAGTACGGCGTTCGAATTGGTTTTGCTCCTCGCGGTACCAAAAGACAGAGTGAAAATAATCCATGTATCCTGGATGCACACAGAAGGCCGAAGCCTCCCGAGCCCCAAATGCGAAAAGACTCGATGCGGCCTTTGTCAAATACCAACATTAACCTGATTTACATTAGGGTATAGTAACGAGAGTGAGTATACTACAAGGCGAAATACACAACGAAGATTGTACAGGCTAGCGCTACAATTGTGGGTATCATCAATACATACTCCCCAACCCTAAGGTATCCGCATCCAAACGCCTCAGCTGCGTCTCACAATCTCAACATCCACCCTCCCCACACACTCGCCCTGGCCGGAACCGACATAGAGCCCAACCGCGAACTCCCCCAAATCATCGACCCCCGGCGCGCCCCAAAACTCCACCGCCTCCTTGCCCCTCCCCATCCCATTCGCCTTGAGCACGTACCGCAAGAACGCAGGCGCACCCCTGCCCGACCCGTCCCTCAGCCGCGCCACGATCTTCCCGCCAGCGCACGACGCCACCACAGGAATCACGAACCGAAAGTGCTCCCCGCACCGCAGCAGCATGCGCGGGACGGCATCCCGATGGCCCTGCTCCGACGACTCGAGCGAGAACACCGACCGCGCGCCGCCCGTCCCCACCGACTCCCGCACGCTCGACTCCTCCCCCAGCGCCTTGACGTACTGCATCCCGATCTCGAGGTCATCCCCGCTATCCCCAGGCGAGACGAGCACGTCCGCCCTCTGACTCGCAACGCGCTTCGGGGAGTGCACAGTAACGCTCTTCACCGTCTTCGTCGTCGTCGGGGTCGGACTGAGGTATGGAAGACTCGGCACCGGCACGCGCGCAGCGCTCGTGAACGGGACAAGACGCGGACGCGCGGGGACCGCGGGGCTCCCCTCCGGCTGCGAGTAGTACGAGATCCCACTCACGCTCCTTGCGCTCCGGATACTCATCGCTTTCGTCGCAGTCTGCACCACCGCCTCAGCTTCGTACGAGGTCACCGAACCCATCGAGTCGCTCTGCCTATGCAGCGGGCGGACAGCTTTACCCGATGGCTGGCGACGCGCCTTCGCAGGAGCACGAATACCAGTGTTCTCCCGCCCAGGAGGCACAAAATCTGCACGCCGACGAGGAATGGACCGTTCGCCGGTAGCATTTGTCGACGAAGATGGAGAGCGCCCAAGGGACATGACTGAGTTGCGGATGTAGCCCACGATGCCAATGTTTGCCTTGTCAAAGGGTTCATGCACACTGGGCAGGCCATTCATCTGGACAACGCCGGGCGGGGCAGTGATGAGCGTCGGCTTCGAAATCATCGGTCGTCCATCCGCGTTCCCAGACTCCCAGCCCTTCAGATACTTGTCGCTGACCTGCCGCACCGTCGCGCGAATCTTGGACAGGAACTCGCCCTTGCTTATAACGTTGCTCCTCGGGCTCCAGTTCGGTGAAATAATGCTCGAGGCAGCAGGCGAGGACCCCAGCCTGGACATCGCCTGCTGTACAGTGCGCCCTAGACTGCCGTACCTGCCTCCCGTAACAGGTGCAGATGGCGTCCGCGTCTGGTCCGGCAACACAATACCAATTGGGGCCGCCGCCGCCGCGTTGACAACGTCAAAGTGCTTACGTTCCGTCCAGCCGTAGCCCTCCTCGCTTCCCTCCTCGACATCGATCCCATACCACTGCTTCTCCTTCTCCGAGAACCCGCGGTAACCCGCCTCGCCCGTGAGTGCTGTGTCAGGGACCTTCGTGCAATGCCTCAAGCCAGCCAGAATGACACCAAGCATGACGATCCCGCCGATGACGCCAAAGAGGATTTCGAGCGCCAGCAACAGTTTTGCGTGAGCCGCGTTCGAGAGCCCCGGTGTCGGTCTTGCGTGCTGCTTGTTGTATGCATCAGGGGCCCACGTGACGTTCAACGATGTATGCGAGGTCGAGTGCGTGACGTGCGAGTACGCGGTGAACATAACCGAGATCTGGTCGTAGTCCGCATCGAGCACGTCCTTGGGCACAGTGCCTGTCAGTTCTGCCTTGTCCGCATCAAAGCCCAAGAAGCTATCAACGTCGGGTGGATCAAAGGAGGCGGAAAGGTCAACGTTGTCATTGCCTAGGATACCGACGGTCGTCTCGTTGGAGAAGTACTGGACCAGGTCAAATGTAAGCGGCTTGCCTGGTTGGACGATGAGAGATGGCAGGGATGACGTAGAAAAGAACGACGGGACAACAGCAAGCGAGACATTTGTGTAGAGTGTTTGATTGAAGAACGTTGACAACTCCACAGGCAAGACAGGCGCTGCGCTGTACGGATCGGGAGGTTGTCCGCTAAGTGTGCGCGTCTTCTCGTCGTAATGAAGCCAAGAAGAGTACTCAGTAACGTCTATCGCCAGCTTCATCAAGTCCGCTGGCTGTATGGGGTTACCATCGATGGTCACACCAGTGAAATCCGCAGGCGAAGAGAAGTCCACGCTAAAAGGTGTCGAGGCGGTTATGTTGATGGTAGGCAGACTGGAGGTAGCAAGAGAGAGCTCATAAGAAGAGATGTAGAGGTCAAACGGTTGGTAGCCAGCGGAGTACCCTTCCTGATCCGACCCGTGCAGAGCGAGAGACACTAGCTGAGTTGAGTTCTTCGGAGAAGAGGGAGTAACACCATCAAACGTGATCGCCTTGGCATTGAAGCGCAGCCAGGGAGGTAAAGGAGAGCCATCCAGCTGGCGACCGGCATAGTAGAGATCTCCGTCGTAATCGAAGGTGTTGTACACAAAGCCGATGGAGAACGACCAGCCTTCCGGAATGCGTAGGGCAGGACGAGTAGAGCTCAGCGCTGATCCTTGGGATGGGAGAAACACTGACGACAAGGACGGGTTGGTCGGGTGGAATTGCGCCTCGACAGGATTCTTGACGACCGGCGGTGACTCGGAGGTTATACAGAGGGTGAATTTCGACGTCACCGTGTCACCAGTACCATCTTCGGCGGCCTTTACATGCACCTCTGGATTCCCTGCATCGTCCGGCCCTGGAGTTCCTTGAAACGTCCTTGAACCTGGATCCAACGAGAGCCAGTCCGGCAGCGAATCTCCAGTCAGGGCTATACTTGCATTCTTCGACGAGAAAAAGGTTTTGGGAGAAAAGGACCAGGTATAGGGTTTGCCAACGCGAGCAATGGCGGGGAGCTGCTCGTCTAAAGGAATGGAGACGGAGACAGCAGCGTGTGCCGTAAGAGAGAAGGCCAAGAAAATGTAAAGAACGACGAGCATAATCATGATAGTAATGACAGACGAGGTGCTGGTAACGTCCACGTATACCGCGGCAGTCGTCCAGCGACCTCGATGTTGTGATGAGGAGCGGCGGCGAGGGAGGACAACGACGACCGGTGCAGAAAGTCAAAGGACGAACACGAGCGCCTAAACATGAACCGTGTGACATACTCATCACGTGAATGTGACACAGCGTCGGCATACATCACGTCCTCCTGAGCAGGCAGGTATCAAATGTACTAGATTCTATATCATTTCGTTACTCGTTCTATATCATTTCGTTACTCGTAAAATAAGGCGTGCGGCTACATAGCAGTATTCGAAAACAGATCAGAGTGATTCCGGTATACGATGCATCAGAGGGGACATGTGAGTCAAGACGTCAAAAAATGAAGAATACAACACGCGAACCAAGAAAAAAAGACTTGCACTACAAACCAGGAACATATGGTGTCAGGCCTGCCGCCTGCACTTTTGCGGGCTCCTCCTTATTGAGCAGCCCGATAAGCTGAATCAGCTCTCCCCTCGTCTCCTCCTGGACCTGCTCCTGCTTGCTCGGGTCAAGCACATACGCGAACACGGTTAGCAGGTGGTCCAAGTGTGGCAACAGCGCCTGCGGATTCGTGCGGAACAAGTGGAAGATGCAACGGAACACTGGACGGTTCTCCAGCGGGTCGTTCTGCAGCGGGAGCGCGCCAAAGAGAACCGGCAGCACCTGGTCCAACGGGAGAGCAGCCGTATTCTTCACGATCATCCGTGCAACCGCTCCGCAAGCGTTATCCCGCGCATTGAATTTCGGCGCCGGCGCATCGGGGGCGACAACGAACAGCGGGCGAAGCTGTGCGAGGATCTGGAGGTACTGCGCCGATAAATCGACATCGGAGTGCTCCACGAGCAGACCAGCCGCGAAGGAAGCATTGCTCTGCACCTCAGCTTCCTCGTCTGCCAGCGCCTGGTAGAACAGCTCCATCAGCGGACCCGTCCACTGACTAACTGCATTGCTCATCCCGGAGATGATCTCAGCTAAACATCCAATAGCCGAGGAACGATCGCTGAGCGACCTGTTTTTCTTCTGCAGGCACCTCATCAATGCAAAGACGCTTGTCCGAGGCAATCCTACTCACATAGTATTTTGAGATCAACGGGAAGAATCTCGCAAAGGCCGGGGCAAAGTCCGGGCCAAGAACGTTCGCAAGCGCAGAGACGAGGTCGCCAGCAGCAGAGATGAGGACAGAGTCGTACTCCGCCTGGTCCTCGGGCGCCTCCTCATCCTCGTCCTGGTCTGGATCATTTTGACAAAGCGCCTTCTGCTCCAGGACCTGGATAGCCATACCGCTGATCTCTTCGATGTCTGCCAACAATAGTGAGGGGAACGTTCAAAAGAGTATATATGACGGCACGTACGGTCACCGAGGAATGCAGGCCCGACAGTGCTGATCGTCTCTCCAAGACCGACGCACAGCGAAGAAACAACACTCCTAAACGATATGTCAGCGTCTGCTCTACATACAGACAATAACAGTAGATCAGGATAATACAACGAATTCATCTCATATACCCGCAGGCGTCGAGGTGAGCTGAGTTTACGTGATTTGCTCATCATAGAAAAGAGTCGCAGTGGCGACAAAACATCATGGAAAGCAACACTCACTTGTTATCCTCCGACTCATACATCTCCAACAGCGCA